GTGTGTGTGTGTGTGTGCGGCGTGTGCGGTGTGTGCGGTGTGTGCGGTTGTGTGTGTGATGTGTAATGTGTGCGGTTGTGTGTGTGATGTGTAATGTGTGCGGCGTGTGCCGCGGCGAGAGCGGTTTTTTTTTTTGAACGAACGAAAAAGAAAGAAAAGATCTGAGGCGACCTCGCCACACCGCGGCGGCATGTGAGGAATGTGGTGGGGAGGGGGTGTACCTTGAGCCCAGCCGCTCTCGTCGCCGCCGCGGAAGGTGATGACGTCGCCCTTCTTGAACGACAGCTCCAGCTCGTCGTCGAACGCGCTGAAGTCCGCCAAGGCCTGCGCGCGGCAACCGGTCAACAGACGACACACGACACACGACACACACAACACACAACACACAACACACAACACACAACACACAACACACAACACACCTGAACTTTGGGGAAGCGCAAATCGTGCAGTCTCTGCAGGGATCGGGGCGTGATGCTGCCCGACTCGTCTGCACCACACACACACACACACACACACACACACACACACACACACACACACACACACACACACACACATTTAGCCAGTGTGTCGTGTGTGTCGTGTGTGTGTCGTGTCACCTTCGTTCATGTGCGGGAGTGTCTGATCGGATGACGACGACGCGGCACCGGCGCCGGCGCCGCCTTCGCGCTTCTGCCGGTCGCGCTCCATCTCGCGCTCCATCTGCTCGATCTCGTCGTTGAGCCGCCGGATCTCGAGCTCCTTGTCGCGCTCGCGCTTGAGCTCGGCCTCCATCTCGCGCTCGAGCTGCTCGATCTCGCGGTCCATCCGCACCAGCTCGCCGTCGTCCACCACGGCCGAGGCGGCGGTGTCGCGCTCGCGCCGCTTCTCCGTGAGCCGCGCCGTGCCCGGGTGGTGGTGCGCCTGCGCGCGGCCCAGCTCGCGCTCGAGCTCGAGCAGCCGCTCCTTCTCCTGCTTGCGCTGCAGCCACTCGCGCCGCTCCTTCTCGCGCTCGCGCCGCTCCAGCTCCTCCCGCTCCTCGCGCTGCCGCCGCTCTTCGCGCCGCTTGCGCCGCTCCTCCATGCGCCGCTGGCGCTCCTCCTCGGCACGCTTCTGCTCCTCCTCGAACTGACGCATGCGCTCCTCGCGCCGCCGCCGGCGCTCCTCTTCACGGCCCCGCCGCTCCTCCTCGTCGCGCGCGTGCTTCTTCAGCTCGGCCTCGAGCAGGTCCTCCTTCCGACCACCACCACCGCCCCCTACGCCCCCTGGGCCGCCTACGCCCCCTGGGCCGCCCCCGCCCGCCCCCTCTCGCGCACGCCGCCCGCTACCGGGCGAGTCGATTACTGCGCCCCCGACCACCATCAACGTAGTCGCATGAATTGATTGATGTGTAAGAGAGAGAGAGAGAGAGAGAGAGAGAGAGAGAGTTGTGTAAGAGTGTTGAAGGAGGAAGAGGGGAGGCCATCCGCCACCGAAATCGATTCCATCAATCAAATAAAATGGGGCTGTAGCCGTGTAGAACGACATATCGCGAATCTTGGAATTCCAAGATCGATGGAAATGGGAGAAGGAGAAAACGAGAAAGAGAAAGAGAAAGATGGAGATGGAGGAGAGGTAGAGGGGCGTACCTTGCGATGGAGGGGGCGGGGTGTTTCAGTGGTAGGCCCCGGCGTTCCGTGCTGGCTGCTGCTGGTC